GACGCTAGCGCAGATAGTCCTCGTGTAGCTTTGCGCGAAATTCAAAACAAACAAACAAACACTCCTAAAAAAAATAAAACAACAACAACAAAAATTTGCTAGAAAAATAAAACCTTGAACAAATTCAAAGTTTAGTTCCTTCAGTTGCAGAGAAAAGTAAAACCATTACCAACTAGAGAGGCACTGAGTAGAGCGCATACTTCAGCCACGCAGCGTCGATCATATTCGGCCCTAAAAAAAATACGAAAATCTGTTCGTATGTTCGTCGTTATCAAAGGACAGGGACCATTTTTGGCAGGACAATGGGGAATAATATTCTACATATTTCCTCCAGGTTTCATTAAAAATCCGATCATTTTTCCATGAGTTATAGAACAAACATTGTGTGAAAAATCGGTCCCCATGTTAACAAGTAGGGATTTTTTGAATTTTCGTGACTTTGCTATGACCTTTACCATCCAAAAACTAATCACACCGAAGTTGGGTCATATTCAAAATGTATGCCAACTGTCGTTTAAATCCGTTCAGCCGTTTTAGAGATATCTTGATGACACACACGCAGGGGCGAAAACATAACCTTAGTTACCTTCGGTGGCGGATTTTGATTTTCTCGTCACATGCATACACAATTTATATTTATAAGAAACTTTTCAAATATTGTACAGAGCATGCTCATCATGAAAATGTTGACTTTTATCGACCGATTTGGGAGGTCTGAACGTACCGTTGATACGGTCAAAAATCAAAATGTTTAAGCCAAAATATGCAACCAAATATACAATGCACTAAGAGTTTCTAGTGTCTGAACTTTACCATTTAAGTTGGGATTTTTTTTTTGTCGAGACAAAACTAGTTGTACATGTACAATTAAATCTAGAAGAGTTCGAAATCTCGTCCAGTCTGTGTAAATCTTGAACAAAAATAAAACTCACTCCCATAAACAATACGAGTCCTGTGGAACAAAGTAGCGAGGCTATGTAAATATAATTTGCAAAGGTCAGTCGCCTAACCTCACATTAATAGTGGAATTCATTTTATATAAACATATATCATCTATCTGTCCGTAGTATACCTACAAAATCATAAGTGTGCCTGAAAATTTTATGATAATGTTGACTGTCGATTGTGAATCAATGGTGCTGTGGGTTTTGAAAACGAAAGACAACAAATCACTTTGAAACACAGTCAACAACATGCATATGCTGTTTAAAACTATTTATATTCTTGTGTACAAAGAACTCACTAACACATCATTGCATGTATGGAGTAAAAGACTAATTTTGTTAGGCGTCTCATATCGGTTCAATTACAATTTAATGGCGTTAGGCATCTCATGTCGGTTCAATTACACTTTAATGGCAGACGGACGAAAATAGTTTATTAATATTATAGGGAGTGGACGTGGCACAGTGGTTAATGTATCGAACTATGGATCTGAGGGTCCATCGTTCGCCAAAAATAGAAATAAAAATCAGGCTCCGACTTTGAGGCTGTAAGTACGTTATAAAGGTGACGGTCAAATCTCATTATATGGTGAGTCAAGGGGCTAGCGGCGGGGGTTGTTGGCTACCTGCATTTCCTCTAGTTTTATTAAAGACGGTATAGAAAATAGTTCTTGAGAAGATTTGCGCGAATATTCGAAACAAGAAAACAAAT